GGATTTGAATTCTGGCATTTTTATATTGCCTCCTAGCCAGATCAAGGAACTGCACTGACACAGTTTAATCAGAACAGTATATATTCCAGCTAGGATTCTGAATATCAGAAAGGCTGTCTATTCCTCAGATGGTTTATATTTCCAGGAAGAAGCTCTTATTTTAACCAAACTGGTTGAAATCTAGTACAGCATCAGACTTCAACTGCTGTACACAGCAATGATAGTTTTCCAAAAGAAAACGGAAAAAAAAAAAAAAAAAAGATTAGTGTTACAAAAATCACATATCTACACTGATGAATGCTTTCTGGGCTGCTGTTTCTCTTATCTGGCATGAAAAAGAGAAAAAAAAAAGAGAAGGAAAATCACTGATAGAAAATGGAGAAGAGCTGCTACACAGTATGAGATGGAATAAATCAGAAATACAAGCTAAAGAGAGGAAGAATGTTCAAACCGCAGATACAATTCCTTAACAAAAGCACATCTTCACTGCAATGACAAAGCAATTTAAGTTACAGCCCAGATTTGCCATATCTGAAGCTCTCACCACATGAAAGGGTCTTTACCTGCATGGTTAATCCAGAAAAACAGATATTCTGGGGTTGTGAGTAAACTTCTGTTAAGCTGGGCCCCAAAGTTACAGACTTGAAAACACCRAGAAAACACACATTAACCACATTCTCTCATTTTCCAACAGGGAGCCTAAAATCAACATCACCTATGAGTATCAACAGGAGGGATTTGCAGTCCTGGAAAATCTTTATTACCTAAGATGCAAGASGTGATGAACCATACGTGCAAAGTGAAATGGGCTCATCCTATCCCCACACCATCACAYCCTCACTTCATATGTTGTTTTCAGCTGTTTCAGAAAACCACTCACACTTCCAAAGTCCTTCAATTCCCAATTCATTACAGCTGTACAATCRCACCAACAAAAAAGATGGACAACCTCTGGGAGATGCCTTTCCCACAAGCTCACTCTCTCTCCCTCATGTTCCTTTTACTGACAAAAGACTCCRGTGGGAATAGTCACCACCTTATCTGGGCATCCAGATTTCTGCTGGAGTCCACAGAAACACACAAAACACAGGATCACATCCCCATAAATTGCAGCAGACAAGCAAATTGCATGCTTGACAAATTGTATGCAGACCACAGGCTTGATCTTTAGCAAAAAATCAAAATAAAAAATGGCAACATTATACTTTAATATCCTCAGAGCATTGTTAGACATTTAAAAATGAAAGCACGGGTTAGCCTAACTTAGCCAGAGGCCTCAGCAGAAAACTCATGCAAGATCTYTCATACAGGAGAGAACTTCAGCAAAATAAAGGCTAAAATTCTACTACTAGATTTTTTTTAATCCAACTCTCATGCCTCTTCCTCACCAGTTTTCTCTAATTCTGTGTTTGCACCATCTGTCAYCTAATAGCTCTGCTGTAATACAAAGCAGTAAACAAGGCATAACAATAAATTATGCTTCGATTTAATGGGAGGATTAAGCAGAAGGAGAGATTTTGTTCTCTGTCTCTTGCTGCTGACACTTTGGACCTTATTAACTTTTTGTCATTTTAGTACCTGTGATAAGAAACTGATATGGTGAATTATTACCTCTCTCAGCTTTCTGTGGTAAGTGACAGTAATTTGCTTACAAAGATCTTCTTTCAAATTAAGTTTACAGTAAAGTAACACCTCATGGCACATACAAATATCTCAGGACACCTCCCTTGAAGATAAATAAACTTGTAAAATCTTACCTCAAATAAAAGTTTAACATTCGTCATGTTTAATCAGCAATAAAGTCARACCTCTAATTCTTCACAATTTATCCTTCACCAACACTATGTCACTTCCAAGTTGAAACATGGAAAAAATTTTGACATTTGCAAGCAGTGTGGCAGAAAGGCAGCCTGCCATGTTATCAAAATAATTTATGTCCTAAAATTCCTGTGAGTCCAACATGAAAATAACATCTCCACCATTCCAGCTCTGAGTTTAGACAACTCCAGTGTTACTCGACATGACACGCTCAGGAACAGAAATCATCTTAAATTGACACCACTGGTCCCCTGAGCTGACAAACACAAGTTGCTTAAATTCTACATGTGCTTCATTTTGTGTTCTAGTGAGCAATGTTTGAAACAGGAAAAGGGGGTCAGATCTGGGAGTAGAAGAGATTAAACTGCAATTTTGTTTTCCTCCTTTTTGGGCTAGCCTCTAGTATCAATCTCAGCCTGCTCTAAATTATGTCCAGCTGTCTGTTGCCCCCAGGGACAATTCTAGCAGCCAGAATTAGTTGGGAGTGCAGTGACATTTTAACCACACACAGTCTTTCTTCAGCCTACCTATCCTTGGGTTTTTGAGGACAATGGGGGGTRGCAATATATCCTGCCAAGAAGAAAAAATGTGAACATTGAAGTCATAAACACATTCAGGCTAAACAATTTATGAAAACTGTGCGGTTTAAAGAAAGCAAAAACTGGGATGTGGCAAAGAGTTCTCTAAAACAGTAGAGAATAGAGTGCACAATTTTCAGAAGGAGCCAAATGCAAGGAAAAAGGCAAAATTAGGCACCAGCCTCACAACCTTCAATTGTTGTAGGGGTTGGCCTCAGCAGTGCCAAGCTTTTCATGGCCAGCATGGAAGAAGAGACGACCACTTGGACATCTTCAGACACCTCAGATATGTAAATAAGTTGTCCTTCTGCTGAACACTCATGCACATACCTCACACCCCCATTAGCATTTCCAAGCATTTAAATTCTGCTCTCCCACACCAGGCAAGTTTCCAGTTATGTCAGTAGCGAATATCTGAACTACCAAATCATGCACTGAGTCTCCTATCTCCATTTAAAGGACTGACAACCATCCTTGGCAGAACAGGGCATTTCAGCAAATATATAACACTGGCTGAAGCCAAGGGAAGAGGATCGCTGCTCAGCCAGCATTCAGACATCCTCCAAAATGATGTTCCTGCTGTTCTCTGCTTTGCAGAACATCTTTCCAGAGAGAAAAAAAAAAAACAATTGCAGTCCTCTAATACAGGYAATGTTCCCCTGCATGGTATACCAAGACAACACTTCTAAAAATTTTTACTTAATCCAGAACCCAACTTCTGTTATTTTTGTGTGACATAAATGACAAAGCCACAATTCAAATGACAATTCAAAACTCACTAAGTGGTGTTGCCAAATAGATAAAAGCAATTGTTGTTACTATTTTGCATTCATTAGGATTATTAGAAATGCCTGCACTTCTTTTTATAAGTAAGAAACAGTAAAGTTTCAAAATATTTGAAGGGCCACATCACATGAGAGTCCAATTTACACCAACAGAGTAACTCAGACCCAGTCAAACACTGTGAAACTGTATTCCTAAATAATTAAATATAGGCTTTAAGGGAATCATTTTGGAGCAGTACAATGCATGTCAAAAGATAGCTTGTTAAATAGGTTGGCATATGAAGGCACATGCAAAATGTCCTATAATGTACGCAAATTTTCTTTGTKACACCATGTTTTTGCTTCTGTTCATTATTTACCACTGAGGTTTGTGGACTGTAAATACCTCTTCATGAGTCCCACTTACCTATAAGAGCAGAAACTGCAGTGAGGGAGGGAAAATCCTGTCCTCTCTCACAAGTGCCTAAAAAAATAAGAGCCCACATAGGGTTGCAGGTACAAGGATTCTGAAACCACCAGCTTGGCTGATGCTACAACAGATAAGAAGTTATTTGATTCAGAGACAAAATTAATGAGTATTGTGCGGCCATCCAAAAAAAGAATTCATGTTTTATCTAAGATCAACTACAATTTAATGTTAAGAATGTAAGGGATTCTATAGGAAAGCTATTCTCTAGCGAGCAATGCCAAAGGTTGCAGCCTARTGAGACATTGTTTCAGGAGATTTAYAGTYCTCCAGATCCTTCAATATCAACTTTAAGGACCTTTTTTGAAACTAAAGACCTCATGTTGAACTAGACAAACAGAATAGACCTGCTCTACTGTGTCCCAGGCCCCCCAGAAGAAAAATTGGGGAATTAAAAATCGCACTTATCCCTCCACAGAAAGAATTCATGGAGACCTTCTCCTCACCAAAACCCACCAAAGCTTCTAAATCCCTGAAATCCTTCCTTCTGTCCAAGTACTTTCCCTCTGGGTGGGGAAATAACAGCATTTCATAGACAGAATAAGTTTTTAGCAGTGATGATTGCTGAACTTAGGTGGTRTCTGAGGAGCAAGCACTGCCCTGTGAAGGCTCCTCATGGCTTTCATTTACCAAATTTAYAATAGGCACAGAAACACATCAGTCCTGCTATTTTCCAAGCAAGGTTTAGATTAGATCTTACAGAAAAAAAAAAAAAATCAAGGAAAAGGTTGCAAAGCATTGAAAAGAACTGCCCAAGGCAGTGATGGAGTCACCATCCCTGGACGTGTTCAAAGATATGTGGATGTGGGACTTGAGTGCAAGAATAGTGGATATAGGTTCTCTTTATAACTGAATGAAGATAAGAGATCTACAGGCCTTTTTGTAAGTTTATTTTCTTTTAAATCTGCTCGTGTTCAGTATTTGACTTGCACGTCTTGGAAGGAGAGACAACTGCACCAGCTTGGACTGGGAAAAAGCCCAGTTTCCCAGTCTCATTACCACATCTGGTTATGGTTGTAATTATGAACATGATAGTGACGGACCTGATTATCTTACCGGTCTTTTACCCCATCCTTAACTGCTCTATGATCGCACGACTCACGACAGACCCCAAAACGATGGCTATGCTGCGCTTCCACGAAGATCCCAGTCAGGACACACCCGCCGCCTCGCTGGGCACCCAGCCGCGCGTCCCGGCGTGAGGGAGCGGCTCCCGGGGCTGGGGCGGCSCTGCCCGCGGCGCTTCCCGCGCTGCCCTTCCCGCGGCACCGCCGTGTCCGGGGCTGCCCTCACGGCGCCAGCATGGCGGCGGGGCCGGCAGGGGGCGCGCACGGCGCCGGCGGGACAGGAGCCCGTTCTATTTAGCCTGGGGCCGGCAGCGGGCACGCACCGACAGCGGCTGCGGGGAGCCAGCGGCCCCGGGGCAGCGACAGCGAGCGCCTGCCGGCAGCGGGAGAAGGGGAACGGGCGGCAGCCGGTACCGCACGGCGTTGGGGGGAAGGAGAGCGAGTGGCCGCCGGCACCGCACCGGCACCGAGGGAAAGGGAACGAGCGGCCGCCGGCACCTCGCCCGCACCTCACCGGCGCCGCATCCCACTGGGGGAAGGACAGCGAGCAGCGGCCGGCAGCCCACCAGCACCGCACCGGCAGCGGGGGAAGGACAGCGAGTGACCGCCGGCAGCGCAGCGGAGGCAGCGGACGGGAGCAGCGGCCGGCGCCAGCCCGGTCCCGCCGCAGGTAGGAGAGGGCARCGCTGGCGGCTCCGTGCCCGCCGCCCTTCGGGACAGGGCTCTGTCCGAGAGGGTACCGATCCCAGCCCGGCACGTGGGCTGCGTCCCCCACCCTTTGCTTTCACTGAAAAGTTGCTTTTCCACCCCAAAAGCGTGTGCCGGCCGGGCAGTGCAGCTGTCCGCGCCTTGTCCGGCGCTGCTCCCGGTGAGTGCTGGGGTGTTTTAAACTCCATTGACTGGTTATTTCCGCCCCCCTYTCCCAGCTGCATAAAATCCCGGGGCTGGAAAGCACGGCCAAGCCTCCCTCTYTCCTTGCGGGAGCGAGCGGGCAGCGCCTGGCCGCCTCTCCCAGGTAAGGGGCTGGGTGGGCTTCCCGGGCAGGACCTGGTCCCGACCCGATCCCACGGGTGCTGCAGCCTCTTCCAGCAAAGGAGACCGCTAGAAACGTTCCTGCTTGATTTGYTTTTCCTCTCTTTCAAGGTTCACGATGTTGACAGCTATGTTCTTGGCTGCGTTCATTCTTATTACAGTACATTCGCAGGAAACTGAGGAAACYATAACGTACACGGTAAGGTTTAATAAACTTGGAGATAATTACTGCTTTGCGGGGATTCTTTGCTAAATGACCCTTAAGAAAAACCGAATTTCTTGCCAATGAATAGCATGTGCTACAGAGGTCGCTGAGTTTGAATGTTAACTATAAAATAAGCTGCTCCTGCACTGAAACAGTGTTTAAAAGTTCTAGTTGATGAGATTGAGCAAAATAGGTTACAACTACTTGTTTGGGAAAGTTTGCTTTCCTATGTATTCAGTTTGAGGGTCTGAACAAAATTGGGAGGCTTTATTATTTTTTTAGTCCATTTTCATAAAGACCTTCATTTGAAATATATGGAGTTTGACAGATAATTAGGTCAAACATTCTTTTGTGTTTTCTTATGGGTATTTCAAGCAAGCTGTTTTTAACAAAATGTAAGTACTTCCAAATTTGGGGCTCTTAATGAAGCATCTGAATCCTGGAGTGATCATGGGACTGGTTTTTCCTGAGCTGGTTTTGAGCAGTGGTTTTGCATGGCTTGGTAAAATTGTACAAGAATACTGGAAATAGGTTCTGCTTGCAACCAAGTGACAGGCTAAGAGATTTAAAGGCCTTTTTGTCAGGCTTTTTCTTTTCTGTTTGTGTTCAGTGCTTGGCTTGCATAATGCTTGTCATGGAAGGAGTGGCAATTACCCCATCTTGGGCTGGGGGAAAACCCACATTTTCACATCTGATTACAGTTGTAAYCCCTGCAACTTGCTTCATATGGGTGGACCTCTGGATATGTGCACAGACATCAGCCCAATGCCACACAAGCAGAAAATTCTGCACACATGCAAAAAGTTAAGAGAACCACAGCCAAAGCCCAGGATTGTGTCTTATACAAGTAATCCCACTGAAGTCAGTGGGATGGCTCAAGCAAGTAAATATTGCAGAGTTGGACCTTCTTGTAGAAGTCAGGGCTTAAAGAAGCTTCAAGTGAGCATCAGGAAGTCAGTCATAAAATACTTTAACACTGGGCTTTAGAAGAATTACTGTTTTGAATGCTGGGAGTACTTTTATTTAGAGGCTTCTGTAATTTCCTTTTTTTTTTAGTCCCTGTATGTAAGTGGAAACTAAAATGTAAGTACCTTTTGAAAATCTGGGCTAAACAGGGACCCCACCCTGCTCCTTTCTCACAATCATTATATGAGATTTTTTTTCTTAATTATGTGGCATTTTCTGACRAGCCTACATAATTCTTATTATACCAATTGAACATTTCTAGCCATCTTACATGACTTGGGTGCCTGTGCTCCATTTTCAATGAGGTCTTAGAAGTTAGGTGCCTGGATGATCATTAAAGTCTAATCATCTAAAATGAAACAAAAACCCCAGCTTTGGGAGATTTTGCTCTCAGGATGCTACTGTTTCTCATGCACACATTGTATCCACGGAGGGCCAAATCCTTTGCTATTGGAAAAGCCTTTGGCTGCAGTAATAGCTGGACTTGGCTTCGTGCAGTTAAACAGACAGTACTTCTGTTGTGCATTAACAGGAATTGGATGATTCAGTAAATGCATGAATTAGCTGTTTTCCTTTGGGTTTGCCTTTTCATAGCTACAGTAACTTTGGTGTTGTCAACTCAGCATGTAGTCAATCCTTTAGAGAGTGTCCACTTACCCCTTGGGGAGAAAAACCTTTCCAAGTTACAACTCTCCAACACGTTTGGCAAATCATTGGTGTCACCTGCAAGTGAAGAAAATATTTTCAATCCTCCTGCTGAGTCAGTGTCCATCAGTAACAAGTCCTTCAAAGTAACTTGAGGATAGTACCTGCAACAAGTGGATTTTGGCATCAGAAGGCCAAGTTTGTACTTGTAAGTCCCTCAGCAGCAGAGGAGTTGCARTAAGATTTAGCTTGCTTGACTGTGACTAATTACATTAGCCAACTCCATTCTTTTTTTGTATGGGGCCATTAAAGTAATACCCTGAGCAGCCCAGGATTCACCTACACATCACAGCCCAGTTGATTCCCTGATATTTAAATATTTTCAATGTTTCTGCTGCAGTCGGTAGCACTGTGATACTTTGCTGTTCAGTCTCTGTAACTGCAACCTGTGATTAAAATGACTGCCCTCTGGACSATTTAATGGTTTTGGGCAGAGGAATAATGAAGATGCAGAATCTTTCCTGAACTTGCTGGTGTGCATTGATATGAATAGTTGTTGAGTACTGTCTTGTTTGAATATTGCAAAGTCTTGTATAAATAAGTAGTCCTGCTGTTATAAACTCCAACCCTTTATTGTGTGTCTCACAATATAAATTGTCCTTCCTAGAGTGCGGTTCCTGGAGTAATGTGATTAAAAATCATGTGAATGAATTTCCAGCTGTCATGGGATCCTTCCCCATTGCTAGAGTGCTAATGGGAGAGAGGATGGAGTCCAGGGGCACAACATCCTCTTAGTCCCTCTGGCAAACAGACTCTGGGAATGAAAATTGTTCACCTGTTGGAGGGCGGGGAACAAGATCCAAATTCGGAAAATCATGCTGTTTTTCCATTAGAAGGTTTTTGTTCTGGTCAGCTTGGTTGCACCAAGATCATTCGAGGATTCAGCCAAGGACAGATGGCATAAAACTGGGCATAGGAACAAGGCAAGGAGAAAGCGATGCTTTTCTCMCTTTGTTCCCCAGCCTGCTCACAACAAACAACATCTTGGGAATTTCCTGAGACAGAGGTTACCTCTGTATATCATAGAGTCATAGACCATTCTGAGTAGGAAGGGACACACAATCTGTGCTGTTCCTGCACAGCAGTGCTGTACCAATTGCCATTTTTCTAGCCGACCAAGGTATGCAAAATTGGATTTCCCTTCATGTCACACTTTGAGTTCACTGAATATACTCGACTATTTTTTCCAAAACAAAGGATCCCAAGTAACCTAATTTATTTATTTATTTTTCTCTACAGCAATGCACAGATGGCTATGAATGGGATCCTGTTAGGCAACGGTGCAAAGGTACAGTAAATAATTTTCAAAGACAGACTTGCCACTGGTATTCTTTAAGTATTCTCACTGCACACCCCTGTTTTGGACACGGAGGTGTGCGTGCATGTCTCGTCGTGTTCTTTGTGTTAATGGCTGTTGCAGAAGGTTCGACTGTTAAAAGCATGACTTGTGTTGTTGCTAACCACAGATATTGATGAATGTGAAATAGTCCCAGATGCATGTAAAGGTGGGATGAAATGTGTTAACCACTATGGAGGATACCTCTGTCTACCCAGAACAGCGCAAATTATTGTAAATGAGCGAGAAGAAGCAGCAGCTGAATCCACAAGTGGTCGAAACAACGTCATTCGCCGGACCCCGGCTGACCCTCAGCGCGCCCCTCCCAACCCAACCCACCAAATCCAGTGTGCAGCTGGGTATGAGCAAAGTGACCACAACGTGTGCCAAGGTAAGCCAGTGCCTCCCTCAGTTCTGCTCCTGCTACTGTCGCAATGGGGGTGACAAGAGATCCAGGGAAATGACAGCCTGCAGCCCTTGCACTGACTGTAAGGGATTGTTGTTCCATTAACACACTGAAGATATCTAAATAAAATACTCAGATGTTGTTGTTGTTGTTGTTCAAGGTAACAGAATGTGCAATGTGTTGCTGCCTTACAGTCTGTTCCATCAATTTYGGACTAGCAAGTCGAATTAATTCTGTTGTCTGTAACTCCCAAAAAAAAAGCCCTGAAAGCAGCTCTAGAGAAGTATTTTGTGTTGTATTGAGCGTATCTAAGAAAGGAAGTGCTCTGAAAACAGTGGGCAATACAAGAAAGCATAAACAATTTGGGAAGATTTGCAGAACTCTGTATTTTCAGTAAGTGAATGCTGAATGAACAAAAAATAACCACTGTATGAACTTTTGCTTAGAGCAGACTGCAGTGCAGAAGGGTCCAATGTTTTTATTGTGGATAAGGAATAGTCCTTACGCAGCAGGAACCCAGCTTCTGAACAGCCTGTGCTCTTCTGATCTCCATGGAAGTAGCTCTAGGCAGACCCTGCCCATTTACCTCCAGTCCTAGCCTGGCCACTCTTTGAAACTATGGCAATGAAGAGCTTTCATCTGAGTGTACATACACCACACACAGTGCCAAAAATTCTCAGGGCATTAGCAACGTTAATTGTATGCATTCAGGAACCAGCCTCACAAGCATTACTGTAAACTAAGACTGTTTCATTTATTATTTTATATAAATAGTTTACTCTTCTACTTGCTGAAGTAACAAATGGTTCAGCCATTGTTTTGTTTTCTTTCTAGAAATATATTCTACTCCTTGCTCACAAACTTGCTTTTCAAGCACATTAGAGGGACACCCGTGCAAGCAAAGGGCAGAACTTGACCCCGTGGTTCATCTTTTCCACTTTGTGGCCTGTAACAGTATAATCATATAAAATAGTACTTGAGGGACTATAATCAGGGCAGGCTGTAATACACAGTGGTAGTTTCCTTCTCCCTGGTATTCATGTACACAGAACATTATTTATCACTAGAAAGTAAATTCCCTGTCATTCTGGAGCACAGTAATCATCATGGAGGCTGGAGGAGTTATTTTTGTAGGCAAAGCCTCAGAGTTGCATTTCTGGCTTATCTGCTCATGTCCAACATTTCTGTCACTCTGATTCAAGAATGTCAAGCACAGAACCTACCACAGGAGGTCAGGTCCCCTTAACCTTGGGCGTTCACTGGRGGCCATCAAGGGAAAATCAAGGCTAAGGATGGAAAACTGCTCTTTTCCTTAGTTTAACTTGGCAAAGCAGTAGCAGAACTGCTGTATTTGGCCTGGAACTCCCTCCTTCAGGTGATGCTGCTGGCACTACTCTTCASTGCTGCAGTGCAATAAGCTGCTCCAACTTCAGCACATAATGATTTTATTTGATAAAAAATGCAAGTCATGTTAGAAAATTTCCAAGAATTACCATCCCTTTTGCTACATGGCTTTAGGCGCATAAATTTGGGATGGAGTAGGGAAGTTGAGCAGCATGGAGCACCCATAGTTTGTAYTCCAAATAAAGGTTGAGGGTTAGGTTTAACTTTGAGAATGACAAGGGGTGGAGGTTTCTGTTTTGCTGAGGAGATACATTAATATTACTATGTGTTCTGGCTTCCTGAAGCTTGCAACTTAATATTTATATTCAACTCCCAAATCTTGGGTTAATTTATAACAACAGCTAGCTGTTGTTATAGTACCAGGACTTTTAACTAGCATGCACACAAACTATGGTGAAATCTTGGGCTTGACTGAATAAAGCTACTCATTTCCTCATGCCAAACTTTCAATCTAAAAGCAGAAATCATGGAAATATTAGTGCTTAAAAGCTGAAATATATTGTACTGAATGTCTTCCAGCTGGAAAAGGRGTAGTGGACAGTGCTTGAAAGCAAGGATAAAAGACTTTTGGWGCACTTAAAGCATGCATTCAACTTCATGATCTTCATGCTTTTCCCTGCTGAAAATATCTTATAAAAGATAATCTTGATCAGAAATGGTCCCACTGCGGATTTATTTAATTATGGTTAAAAGACTTTGCTATGATAACTGCTCGAGGCTCCTAGGGAGTGTAACTTACAGATATAGTCACACTTAAGCTTGTTTTATTGTTTAGTAAATCAAATATGAAGTCCAGCTCCTTCTAATTGTTTGCAGATGTATGACATTTTCCTTCCAGTCCAGCAGCACTAAGTATTTTATAACCAATGTGAAAGTGTGGAGACCTCTGTATCAAACAATAACATGCTCTGAGGAGCTGAATTACTGACATCAYGCTAGAGTGTGAGGGACCTTCTGTTTTAATACAAATGTCCACTCCCTTTTTAAACATGGAATAGAGGGGGTATGACAGGCCAAACACACTCCTGTGTTTGGAATAAATGCACATAAATGACACTGGTYCTGTTGGATTTTACTCCAGTGATGTGCTGATACACTTTTTTATAACTACTAGTGAGCAGAAACATGTTTYTGTATGACCACATTCATGGTAGGAKTGGGGGTAGCAAAYRTWTCCTGGGCCATTCTTAAGATATTCTTTATGAGCAGTGATGCCACGAGGCCCCTAAACTTATGCAAGGATGAGGGAGGTTATTCTGGAGGAATATTTCTGATGTGGAAAACGTTGTGCTTCAACTTAAGCATTTGAACTGTACTTTAAATCCTGAGTTTATGACCTTAACTAATCTCCCCTGTTCCCATCCTGATATAATTATTCCCCTTTTCACTGTCACTCCTAAATTTAGTCCCTAAGGGAGATTCCCACATGTGACACTTAGTCACACTTTCACGAAGCCCCTTGGATGTTCAGCCCTGCCATTGTGAGGGTATCACTGTAAGTGGGAAGAGCAAAAAAGGGAGTAAGAAATAATGTTAAGCAAATTACTGAATTAACTAATGTTCTCAGACACCTTTTTGCCTGATGAAAACCATAAATAGCTGCACTCTGTGCCTGCATACAGGATTCAGCTGTATTTTACTTCGTTGTTAGGCTCTCTGTGATTTGAGTCTGCTCCTATTGAAGTCAAAAGAAAATCACCCAATTAATTCAATTTTGTCAAACCTGGTCTGCAAGAAAGTACTGGCTTTTCCTAGAATGTTAATGACACTTGAATGAAAAAAAAGAGACCAAAAAAAGGTACCAAATAACCTGTAAACTTGAGAAGGGAAAAGAAGTTATTTTTCTTAATTCCTATCATGTTGGCACTACAAGCAATAAAGTAAGCAAACTTCTTTGCTCCTCAGCTACTTTAGTTTTTGATATTTCTCTGTTTATAACCCTTTGTGCTACTGCAATGTCAAGTACAGGAGGGAGACRGATTGCAATACAAGAGATCAGTGCYTGATTATGTGGGAGAGACACATATTTTCATTCCTATAMTTCTGCCTAGACTTGGTAGTCATTGGTTTCTTGGTTTCTCCTCTTTGGGAGGAGGAGARAAATATTTTCTGTGCTGTGGTTATTTTTCCCCCTGCAAAATCCTTTTAGGTATCTTTACACTGGTAGGGGTTAGGGATTTTTGAAGTTTTTAAGTTTTCTGGTACTTCTCAAAGTAATTTACCATGCTCAAGTTATGCTTTTAACTCAAGAAGTTAATTAAGTGTGAAAAAGTCAAATAAGGCTAAATTTTGCATGTGTAGAATTCTTTTTGTTGTTGTTCTACTAAGGAAGAAGGGACAAGGGGGAGCAGTTCATGCTGTCTTGTTTTCAACAGCAAACTCACTGTCTATATGTGTGTATATATATATATATATATATTTCAGGGATGTGCAAATGGCATGTAGAGGACATAGCAGCTGGGTGAGTGCAGGTGCATTTGGCTGGCCCCAGCAGAGCCTGGTTGTGCCTCTGGCAGGAGGCTCTTCCCTGACTTTTTGGCTGGGGCACAAGAGCCCCTGTGCACTACAGCTCCTAATGAGCTCCACTTACAGGGCTTTGATTCACCTCCCCGTGCAGTCCTGGAACTGCAGCCAGATCCCGTCCAGCTGAAACTCAACCTGAAACTCACCCCAGRGGTGCCATAATGTGCCACAGCCACTAAGGTGCACTTAGCCTTCAGGGCCAMACTCCAGAGAGCCCAGGGAGCCTCAGAAGTGAATGGTCTGGGGTGCTGGAGTCTCTGCACCAAGYTGGGATCTGCTCCTATGGGTTCAACCCATTTGCTAATACAGACATAGCCTAAAAAACAGTTGTWGAAGTTCCTTAGGCATGGAAATGTTTTGGAGAGCTTTTTGTAAAATACTSTGCTGTCCCAAGATTTCCCCCTTCCTGTATGTAAGGAGTGCTTTTAAAAATACTTCAGGCTACTTTTAAAAGAGCCTGAGGTGTGACAAATTTAGTTCCAGAGTTGTTCCTCTCAACTCTCAAGACTAYTTACAAGGGCATGCAGTGACATGACAWGGGGGAATAGGTTTAAATTGAAAGATAGTAGGTTTAAACTAGATATCAGGAAAAAAATTCTTTACTGTGGTGGTGGTGAGGGGTTGGCACAGGTTKCCYGGAGAARTTGTGGCTGCCCTGTCCCTGGAAGTGCCCAAGCCCRAGGGCTTGGAGCAACCTGGGATAGTGGAAGGKGTCCCTGCCCATGACAGTGGGGTGGAACAAGGTGATCCTCAAGGTCTCCTTTCAASRCAAACYATTTTATGATTCTATGARCACRACTCRACCTGTTGAGTTTGAGGRTAGGGTGGGGAGAGAGGCTGTGGCAGGAAAAATAAGGCCCAGCTTTCTGGCTTAGGATGGCAGTGGTTCAAAGTGCTCATTCAGGCCTTGTGTTTGTGCAGCTCTTTAGCTGGGGGGACACTTGTTGTCAGCTGTTGCCACTCAGAGACTGATGTGGTTATATTTGCCATTTCAACTCATTACTGGGACAAGCCAAAGGAATTCTGCAGGTCTAAGAGGATCCACAGAAGAATACAAG